TTTTCCTTCTCTTATACTGATTGTCATCAAAGGCTAGAGTGCCCAGTCGAGCCTAATATTTTTAGCTAATTTTTCTCCTTTCCCATGGGGCCCAAGAGCGAACACAACAGACAAAGCCTAAATTTCTAGAGGATGGTAACTACTTTATTCTGAACGTTCTCTTTGGAGGGGTTGAAAAAGTGACGGATTATCTGGATTTAGGATAGATAACGGTTGATACTATTAAGTTTCAGGTCGTTAAATTGGTAGCTGATGATATATTATTATTAGTATTATTATTATTATTGTTATTATTAAAGTATGTTATATTTTTCAAACTATGGTACTTAGGCCCTATAGGAATGGAATTGGGTGTAGTATATGAGATTTTCCTAGTAGGGCGACCAGGACAAATTTTGTTAATCTTACCTTAAAACTTTCAATCAAGATGTCCTTTCCTTTTCTCACGGGCCCCAGAGCTCCCATGTCTATTAGTACAGTCTTCATTTCCCACATCCTTTTAATCTCGGTTCCAAGTTCTTGTGATTTCTGATAATTTTATAAACTGTTTCTCTCAGATGGTCCCTATATCAATAAGCATTCTCAAAAAATTTCTTTTTATTTTTATAATATCAGCTTTTATTTCCCTATCAGTTTGAAAAAAATGAAGTCCATTTTACATCGTTATTTTGAATCTCTTTGTCTGGTTAGTTCTTATACCATCTCTCAGTGGTTTCAATTTTTGATTCTTGCATATCTTCAGGGCATATATGTTTGCTACCTTGTTATGGATGCGGGTGTATTCATTTTTTGCCAGTTTTAATTAGTTATTATCGGATTATTTTTGAATAAGAGAGCCGAGGCCTAAAAAATGATGCGTGGATACAAATATATGAAGAATAATATGCCCATTGTGACACCCAGTTTTAAATTTCCACATGCATCAAGCCAAATATTTGCGATATGATGACATGTTTTTGAACATTTTGAAACAACGATTACAACCTGCAGATTTCTTCTTTGCCATTTCAAAAAGAAATACCTGAATGTCGAGTAACTCACTCTATTTAGACGGCCTTCGATTAAGATGTCTCTCAAATACTTTGATTTAAGCCCTTTCAAGACGGTTTATCTGCCTCATCCTTCAAACTTAAAATGATGTTCATACCAATTTCTTGAGGCTTTCTTTCCTGCTCAAAAAAACAGATTTCAGCCCCAGGTGACATGCCTAAATGTTTGGTCATTTATCACTGATAGAGTTTTCTATTTATTATTATTAATTTTTCCAAATACAATTATTATTATTATCAAGATCATTCGAATGATTTCGTTGTATGGTCACACTAGGAGGAAAAAGTACTGAGGAAAGGATAGATAACGGTTGATACTAGAAGGTTAAAACAGGTGATCAAAGTGCATAGTATGTCTGTTCCATAAAGTAGCGATTCTTCGAAAGAAGCTGCCGAATAGACAAAGTTCTCCTGTAGCCCATCTTAAGCGACCAGGACAAAATATGTAACGTTAAGACTTTCAATCAGATCACCAATCTTTATGTCATTAAGCCATGGGGTTTAGAGTAGGAAGCTTTTATTTTCATTTCCTTTGATTTTGTTTATATTTTTTTAATTCCAGGTCCCAACCTAAAGCTAAAAATGGTATTTTTCTTCATCTTTCTAAGAAACAAATTTCCATTTTACATAAATGAATCTCTTCAATTTCCAGGTCAATTTTTTGTATTTCTTCAGGGCATTTTTCAAATTCCTTTAATTAGTCTATCGGATCCTTTTCCAATCCGCCGAGGGCTCCAACTACAACTATCAATTGATGTCTTCATGGCCACATTTTTTTCCACTTTCCTTGTTTTTGAAGTTTTTGAACATTTTCAAAGATAATACAATCTGCAGAGACTGCCATGTTGCTTCAATTTTTTTGCGGTCTTTGATCGATGGTATAATCCGATTACTTTGATTGTTCTTTCTATTCTATTTTTGTAACCGGTCTGGATGATGTTCATACCAATTTCTTGCAGTTTCTTTCCCGTAAAATTTACAGATTTCCCAGTGCTGAATGTTTGCCCATTTATCACGCAGAGTTTTATATTTATTATTATTATTATCATTATTATTATTATTATTATTATTATTATTATTTATCAAGAAGGACTGTAATGTCGACAAACATGTTAAGGTATACATTCTCAAAAATTACCCAGAATCCACCGACCTTTCAACTCTTGAAACGTATGACGATAATTACATTATTCTTAAACAAAAGATTTAATGGTCACATAATGTCGGACACAACAATGTGATATCAACAAAACTTGCGAAACATTTTATCACGAACGGCTATAGTTTCGACGAACATCTGTTAAAATATCTAGGCTTCACCGAGATTTCAACCTTTAAAACGAATGAAGATAATTACCTGTGCAAACTAATAACGTCTCATGAACATCATGACAGACAAGTTCTACAATATTTATATCAAATTATTTGATTAATTGCTTTTACCAACTAGTGAACTAAAGTAAAATTTAAAGACGAGCACAGACCCCATTATGTTACTCAAGCTTAGTTGCATTCCATTCACGTTAGCTGCGTTTCATTCGCCTTGTAGCGTTGACTACCAGTAAAATTCTTTTAGTCAAGACAAGTGATATTTGTACAAAGACTTGTATCTTTTAAATATTTTTTCACAATTGTATGTAATTTTTAGACATAACTTGAAGAAGACAGACATACCGTCGAATATTGTTAAACGTTATTAAAAATTGTGTCTTCTCTCGTTTTTCTTTTTCCATAAGATTTATACTAAACTATTTGATTAATTGCTTTTACTAACTAATCAACTAACGGAAAATTTAAAGATGAGCACGAACCCCATCATGTTATCCACGTTTTAGTTGCATTCCATTCATGTTGGCTGCGTTTCACTCGTCTTGTAGCGTTGATGCAACTCTTTTTGTCAAGGCAATCGATGTCTGTACATAAATCTGCATTTTTATATTTTTCATACTTGCACGCAATTTTTAAATATAAATTGAAGAAGACAGACCTACAATCGAAATATTGTTAAACATTGTTAAACACTGGGTCTTTTCTTTATCATTCCTTAAATCCAGTCCTTTTCAACGTATTATTATAATTATTATTATCATTATTATTATTATTATTATTATTTGTTATGGAGTACGAAAGTTTTTCTTCCTCCGTATAAGTTCGAATCCTCGTCGTCAAATAATTGTTGTGGAGTGGTTTCACAGTGGAGGCTTGTATTTGTACTAAGTCGGTCGTAAAATAGGTTCGACGTACAAAACGTTAGGAACTTGATATAATAGGTAATGACGCAGAGAAATCTAGTTGTGGTCGCTGATACTTTAGTATCCGACTAACGGTCGTCCGGCATCGACTGACTGACTGAACCACTGAGCGACCTCTACTACTCCTACTTATTATAGGTGGGAGAGTCTATTAACAATAGAATAGGTGTGTTCCACTACAACATTATTATTATTATTATTTGTATCGGTTAATTACCAAGATCCCCCAAAATAAGAGTAATTAAGCAATTGTATCAATTACTGATAGATTTGTTGAGTCATTTAAAATGGATCAAAGATGGGCTACATTAAGGGGTTTTAAAAACTGCATATTTCTATTTGGTATTAATTCCCACTGCCGGAACGTAGCCCCCTTCTGCCTTTTTCATACATATTTTCATGGTAATAATTGTTCCGCTGAGCTTTCCTCTTTGCTACCTAAACTTTATGAATTTAAGCGCAGTACTAAATTGGCTGCAGGGTCTCATCATTTTACAATTGAAATGTCCACATGTAACCGTATGTTCCATGCTAACCGTTTCTTCTCTCGTACTTTTCGCTTGCGGAACTCTCTTTCTTGCTTTCCAGTCAACTTTGATCTTCAAACATTTAAATGCAATGTCAAGCGTTATCTTCTCTTGTTTCAATGTTCTCTCTCCTTAATATTGTTTTTTTTTTTTTCTCATACTATCTCACAATCAGTAACCCCTTCCGTCTTATTGTCTTTATTGGCTTACTTAGGGTGAAATCATTAAAAATATATTGGTCTACTCTTTAGTGAAATTGGTAGAACAATTAAATACATATTTCTAATTTTACTGATCTAATGAGGATTTACCAACTCCATTAAAAAATAAATATTTACAGATATCTGGAGGGAATGAGACGTTATTCCAAATTGGAATAATTGTAAAAACCAAATAGTTATGTTCCATGCATGATACACGCTTAGGCGATGATTTATCTTTCGATACATGAATCCTGAAGTAGACCAGTTGCCATCCAAAGCTATAGAACCCGGTTTTTCCTGCTATTCACCCATAGCTGGGGGAAGAAGAGGAGGGTTCATACCTTTCCCATGGGTATTAGCACGTAATATGGATTCGACAGGAATTCGAACTCGGCTCTTCGATTCCTCAATCCGAGCCGCTATCCATTACTCCACTGTATGTTTACTGTTGTAAAAATAAATATCAGAAATTTATAAATTGCACATAACATAGAATTAAAACTGTAATCGATGTATGCAATACAAATTGAGATATTTCCTTTTTATCGGTTGTATAAAAATTAAATCATTAAAACAAGTTATAAGTCTAACCATATATAGAAGGAACGTAAACGACTAACAAAATAATTGAATTCATAAAAAGAAAAATGAATGAACAGAGTAGAAATGACCCCCTAAATATTTTAAACCCTTGATATTCAGGTTTTTAATATACCATCTTTTCAATTAGTTTTCTCACCTGTACTTTCTAAAGTAGAACGCATAAATGGAGTGCAATGAAAGCCATGTTTTCACCTTTAAGCTATACGTAATTAAAACGGCTGGCTGCACAATAAACACGTAATAACTTCAGTAGGCGGTTAACCTAACAAGCGCATCTCCACCTCACTTCGCTCCCGTTCTTAGCTTTCCCTTTGCTCGGAAGCGACACTTGTTCGAGAATAGCATGATCACGTGGTGGTATTTTGGTCAGTCGGCAATGTCTATTGCAAACCGAACAAAGAAAGAAAGAAAGGAAGGAAGAAAGGAAGGGAGGAAAGATGAAAAGAAGGAAGGAAGAAATGAAGAAAGAAAGAATACGATGTCATAAAAGGAATTAAAAGATTTGAAATGGGGAAAAGCGACCCGCTTGCGGCCGGTGACTTCTTTCTGAAGCGAAGAACTTACCATTGCAGTTGGCATATGTGAATTCAGAACTGATGGAAAGGTGGGAAAAACCTCACCCGTTCCGTAAATGGGAGACTCTTTGATGAAGATGGGGTCGGAATTCACGATTCTGTTCCGCACGTAATTGACCACCTGAAGACACAGCGCTCAAGATAACTACGTAGTGCAAAACATCAGTTTCTTATCATGACAACAGTGCATCTCGAATAAAAGACATGAAGTCCAGATTACGTGGACAACACTGTCGTGTATCTCTCATGATTTATATATATATATATATATATATATATATATATATATATATATATATATATATATATATATATAATTCATTCTTTCTATCATATTTTCAATCTCCTCCAACAATTGTAAGTTAACGCTGATCAGATAAAGACGTTGTCTTTTAGCCGTTCAAACTAATTATTCTTGGTTCAATTTTGAATTTGAAGAACATGTTTTTGTTTTATTACTGCTTATTTAGTTATCAATAAAAGCATTCCGACGTAAGTATTTTGCTTTTGGAACTTGTCAAGAAAGTTAAAGTCCAGATCATTTGTAATGAGTGATTTCGAGTTTTACTAAAAAAAAAAAGAAAAATGCGCGAAAAACCTCCATCGCAAAGAACTGTTGTGATATTTTGTTAGAAATGGATAATCTCTGTCAAAAAATGTTACTAATATCCGCCCATCTCGACAGAGACTGTAATATAAAATTTAACCAGCGACAATATCAAGAAGCAAAATCCGTATTTTACAAAATATTATTATTAAATACGTTGAATCCCAAATGGATAAAAAAAGGCTTTCAAAAATGGGAGCCTGGCTGCGGGGGTTCAGATGGAATGTCAAACACAAAAACTTGAGTCTGAAATTGTCTTGATGGGAAGGAAAATTTTCCTCACTGTATTTTTAACACACACACACACACTCATATATATATATATAAGAGTTGGGATCAAATATGGATCGGAATCCGACAGAATAATAAGATAAAGAACAAATAGGAAATGTTTATTAATTTAACATGTTTCACGTCTATTAAAACTTCATTATAGAATGGTTCTCATTCTCTGTGGTTTTTGTTGATGATTTTTGATAGTTTGTTGTATTTGGGAAATGTTTTTCAATTATATTGAAGTATATTTTCCTGTTTCTGTTTTTATTACATTATTGTAGAGTGGGTTAAGCCAGATTATGTTTCTTTTTCTACTGTTTTTGTTTGGTTTGTTTTCATTTATGCATTCCAGTTTGTTTGAATAGCCGTTATTTCTTAGTGTCGATTGTTATGTTTCTTTGTTTTCGTTGAATATTTTAATGTTGCAGGAATTCGTTGATATTCTTTTGTTTATGGATATAGGTATGTGTGTTATTGTGTTAGGGGGTGGTTGGAGTTTTTGCTGAGATATATAGGGCTGTTGGTTGCTTTCCTGTATAGTTTGCATTGTTGTTTAAATTGAATGTCATATATAAAAAAAAATTACTACTTTTATATTTGATTTTATGTCTATTGCGAATTCTAGTGTGTTGAAGATTTCTGTGATTTGTTTTCTACTTTTTCTGTGTTTCTACCGTTACAGTTTCTTAGGCTTATTAAGTCGGTGGTCTCTGTATAGGCCTATATTTGTTTTGGTAATGTTTTTTAATTTGATGATTATATGTTTGCCTTTAAGTTCGCATATTTTTGGTGCCGTCGTAGCTGCCCAATGTTACGTCAAAATTGTAATCGTTATTGGCATTGCTGTTGTTAGTGTTGCGTTTTTTCGACTATTATTTGTTCTTATGTTATAGTATAGGCCTTCTACAGTGTTCGATGATGTTTAGGTCTTCATCTCAGATACTTATAATTTGTTTTGCTAGATCTAGTGCGCTGTTCAATGTTTGTTCTTTGATGAATAAGTAGAAGTCTTTATGTCCAGATATACAAAATAGCATTATTCTTTTTTCTTGATGTTCTTAAAGCCATTTATTGTTTCTTTTGTGTTTTTTCATTGGTTTATTTTTAGTTTAATCCTTAGTTTTGAACATATTTCCTCTATTTTTTTGCTTATTTTTCCAATGTTGGTTTTTATAGGGCTTATTAATTTACATTTGGTTTGTTTAAGAAGTTGTCACTGTGGTCTTTTAGCTTAATGAATAATTTTACTTTTGGTAGTTGCTTGATCCTGTTGTCTAGTTTTCGTTTGGCTGCTATATTTTTGCTTCCTTGTTTATGTTGTTTTCCATATTGTTGTTAATGGTTTTATAGAATTTGGCGATTTCTTTTTCACCTATTTTTTATAGTCGTTGGTGTCCATTTTGTAGATGGTTCTACATTTATCCGATTGTATATATTTTTTTCATTTGTTTGTCTTTTTTATCATTGTCCAATTGTTTTTAGAATTTGTCGTGTGATTTTCTTATTTCTAGTTTGTTTATGTTTATTAAGTTGTTTTCAAATGCAATTAGGTCGCTCTGTTATGGTAGGCATTTCTTTTTACGAAAATTCAAGGTTATTGTGGTTTTGCCGTTGTTGGTTTTATCTTTGTTAAGGAAGTAAAATACTTTTCATTTCATGCATTTTATTATATGTTCTACATTTTTCGGTGAACTTGATTTTATAGTCGTTTGATGTGTGTATGTTTTTTAGTGAATAATTGAACTGTATTTTTTCCATGTCGCTGTGCGGCTGATATTTCAAAGTATTAAAATAATACAACACACATTAAGTGAAAAAGCCACACACTCACACAGGGATATCAAATTATACCAAACTCACGAAAAGATTGAGAAGTAACAGTAGAGAAGCCAATGGCGCTGAAGAGTGAAGGCAATACAACGATGCGATCAGGAAACATCGATGTCTGCGCAGACTTCAATGTTTCCTGATCGCATCGTTGAAATAACACTACTCAGTTAAGTGACAACTTTCTCCATATTAATTAGCTCCCAAATATACCTCCAACAAATACTTCCTACATAATGGTATGACATTATTAACAATGGTGTCTTCGTCTAGCTAATGTTTTATCATTATGTGGGAGGTATTTCTGGATGGTATATGCGGGAGGTGTTTCTGCCGCACTCTCTACATATAAGGGTGTGTTGAAAGGTTGTCAGCCCGATCCATTTATATATATTCAAATTAAATATACACTCAAACGCATCAGAGTTGCTTCTGTGTGCGTTCCTTACTGGGTGCTTCACTATCATGACAGCTTCAGGTAAGCTCTGTGCTAATAGATATCAAACTGAAAGCATATATATATATATATATATATATATATATATATATATATATATATATATATATATATATATATACACCTAGTGAGCCAGAAAAACCTACCTATGTCTCACCTAAACGGATCGTCAGGGAAATTTAGGAAATTTTGTTAGTTGTTTACTCGTATCGGGGTTTTTTCTTTGGGCTTCAAACCTGCACCTGGGCGATTTTTTTCGACAGACTTTCATGTTTGTAGCTCTTTCTTTTTTTAAAAGCTTTTTTCCCTCGAGATTGATTTGATTATTGGCAAATCAAAAAATTCAAGGTTTTTCGAAAAGAGTATAGTTATCTATATTTGTATATATATATATATATATATATATATATATATATATATATATATATATATATATATATTGGAATCTACCGTTTTTTCGACGTATCAGAGTCAAGCAACTCACTTTGTAGGAAATGACAGCCAGAAACCTGCACATATGATTTGATTATAGTGGTAATGGGTTTGTGCAGAACCAACCACACTTTTTGGAAGAGCCGAATACAGAGAACTGGTGCACAACGTGCCACAAGGTTTCACAATGACCCTCTGCATGTTTTGAATTGGCCTACTCCTAGACCGGCTACCACATAAGGCTATAGAACCCAGTCTGTCCTGTTATTTACCCATAGCTGGGGGAGAAAAAGAAGATTCATACCTTTCCCAAGTGAAACGTAAATGAATGTAAAGGATCCGATTCCTTAATTCGAGCCGCTTTACATTACTCCGCCGTATACGTACAGATATATATAAGTGTGTTTATATGTGTGTATATATGTGTGTGTGTATAAATGTAAAAGACAATAGGAAAACTGTAATATTAGCCGACGCGTTTCGCCCAATGTGGACTTTTTCAAGGCAAAAACGAAATGAATTTATTAAAACAAAGTAACAAATATTAACAAAACAAAATTCCTTAGCAACTGGAAGAATTTAGAGAATGCTGATATATTCATACTGTTAACTGAAAATTACGTCAAGTATTGTCACGTGTGGAAATATTGTTTTTATTGTTGCGTTGACGGATTCAACCATTTTCTTTTGATTTCTTGATACAGTTGTGTACGTTTACTTGGGAGAGAAGGAATTCTGTTAGGAAAGGTGAAATAGGGAAAAAGGTCTTTGTTTTTTTTTAATAAATTCATTTCGTTTTTGCTTTGGAAAAGTCCACATTGGACGAAACGCGTCGGCTAATATTACAGTTTTCCTATTGTCTTACATTTATAAATATTGTCTTTTTCTACATATAGATATATATGTGTGTGTGTGTGTGTGTGTGTGTGTGTGTGTGTGTGTGTGTGTGTGTACACCAAATGTAACCTTTCTTTATACAAACAGAGCATCTCAAAATATGTGCTGGCACGATTATATAGTTATATGCTAACAAAACAATCCTCCCACATTCGCCAATATATACACGAATAGATTTAATGGGCTCGCAAGTATTATTACATCGCATTTTGTAAACACATCCGTCGTCCATATAGAAAAACTTACACGTACACACACACATACTTAAATATGTAAAAGTTGTTATTCCTTAAAATACGCCCGTGTACATGCGCGCTCATGGCAGCTAATATGCACAGAGAACGACCCTAAATGCAAACAGAACATTTTCCCCTTTGTCTTCAATGACAGGGCCGGGGTTCAAATCGGCCATGTCGCTGTATCCCTCCTATCTGATCTTAACGTCCCAAGCCCTCAGTACTGCCCGCACTCAACATTGTAGAAGTTTCATCACATTTTGCTATTACAATCTCCGTAAAAAAATACAGACATGTCAGGTGGCGATGACAGGTCGAAACACGGTATTAACAGCTGTGGGGAATTACATTGCAAAACGAAAAATATAAGAGGAACGGTGAAATAGAAGGTGCTGATAAAGACAGATTTAGAACAGAATAATAGTAAAGAGCAAGAGAAGGTAAGGCATAAAGAAGAGAAAAAAATGAAGGAAGGTGTGAAATCGAATGGAATCGTTAATTATAGAGTTTTAAAAGTGTATGAGAGGAAAACTAGAGGAGTGAAATTAGAGGAATGAAAGCTTAGATCACGGAAGAAGAATGTGCGTAAGAAACGAAGGAAGAAAGAAATGAAGTACATTGAAATGGAAGAAAAGTGATGAGTAAAGGAAACAAAGCAAAAAAAAAGAAATAAAAAAGATGAATGAGAAAAAATGAAGAGAAAATAAGGAAGAAAAAGGTAAAAAGATGTAAAAGAAAAATGGCTGAATAAAGACATCGACAGTCATCGGACAAAAGAAAAATGAAGAAAGACTATTTATATTTTTTATCGCTATTCTTTTCTAAAGTTTAAGAGGGTTAATCAAATGAATGAGTCATCACAAATAACGATTATCTGCAGTTAAACCTTGATTTTTTTCTGAAAAGGCCTACACGGATAATTTCTTTGCTACCATAAATATAAACCTTTAATGGAAGCCAAACCCACAACATCAACCGTTAAATTAACATTAAAAATGTCAAGCCGTCGAACCATCTGAACTACTACTTAGATGAATACAGACGACAAAAATGTTGATGAGTTGTTTTCGTTTCGCGGCATATCAACCTCTATTGGTTATTTAATGTCGAAATTTAAATATTTTATACGCAATTTTATTTAATTTTTGGAGATAATAATGGTCTAGCGATACAAATCTTACTAATTAACCCACAGCTTGGGGGAAATATGTTTGCGCGTAATTGAATATAAAAATCCCAACTGGAACTCGGCTCTCCGATTAACAATTCCGAGTCATTATCCATTACACCAGCCGCACACCCAAGCTTACAGTGCCTGGTATTCCCAATTGGTTATCCATCTAGTCAAAAATGAATCTCAATTCTATTTAACGCTTGTTCCAAGCGAGAAAGAAAGAAAGAAAGAAAGAAAGAAAGAAAGAAAGAAAGAAAGAAAATCTGTATTAGTATGAGTAAAAGCAAAGAGGGTTTGATGGGTGTAAGGGAGGAATAGTGGGATATATATGCGCTTGTATGAAAGTGAGAGATTGCGATTGTGTGTGAATGCGTGTTTGAAAGCGTAAGCATATGTATGTAAGTGCAAGTGTGAGTGAGAAACAATGTGATTGAACAAGAATAAATGCGTGTGAGTTTGTGAATATGGTTGCAAGTGAAAGTAAGTGGGTGAGAATGACTCTGTGTGTGTGTGTGTGTGTGTGTGTGTGTGTGTGTGTGTGTGTGTGTGTGTGTGTGTGTTAGATTAAAATAAAACTCGAGGGAGATAATGACGACAAAATAGGGAAGAAAAGTAAGCAGTAAAAAAGAAAGGACATTACCACAGGAAGAGATTTATCCAACATTTTGGCGGTCTGTGGCGATAGAACTGAAAGGACGCTGACGTTAAGCGAAAATAGCGTGAGAAAATGGCGGTCTAGTACAAATCAGAAGGCGTCTGACAAACCGCAAAAAAAGGATAGAAAGTCAGGTTTCAGAGAGAGTAAAGAGATAACGTATAAAGAAACAGAGTAAAAGAAAGAAAGAAAGAAAGAAAGAAAGAAAGAAAGTAGTACACAAAGAAAGGAAAGGGGAGATAACGTTCAGCATTGTACTTTTCATCTCCGTATTTGTGGAAAATACTGCGACGCAATGTGAGCAGTCTGAAAAAAACATGTGTAAAGAAAGATCACAAATGAAAGAGCCCCCATATATAGATAGATAGATAGATAGATAGATAGATAGATGAAGATTATGGTCCAGCATAAAGCAGAATGTCACTGCTCAGTAATCACTTTTTATATATATATATGCTATATCCCTGATATTGCGCATTTTCACCCATAAATATAGCACAACTTAAACTTATATTTTTATTTTATATATATATATATATATATATATATATATATATATATATATATATATATATATATATAGGCAGCATATCTTCCATTCAAACATGTTTCATTGAATAATACAGACATATTGTATCTACTTATGTTTATACTGATCCTTACCAGTTGTCTAATCAGTTTCTCAATGTAATTCATCGAGAAAGGCGCGTTATTTTTTTAACCCAAGTACTTTCGACCTGTTCTAAGATCATCTTCAGGGGTAAATTACAAAAACAAACATGCTATTGTAACAGCAATAAAATCTGCATGTCAATCTCATTGTGATTTTAAAAATAAAAACAATCTGTTATAATTATTTTAGAATTTCTAAATTTATGATTGCAGCTATTTTACAACACAAGCGTTTGAATATAAGGGAGCCGACCGGGAATGGCTAGAAATGTAAAATGGCATTAGTATACGAATGTTATATGCACATTAATATGTGCTTGCTATATTCGTAAGAAATTTTGTTGAGTGTTGTTTTTTATATATATATATATATATATATATATATATTGTTTAAATTTTGCTATATTTTTAAGGAAAGAATGCTCAATATCGGAGATAGAGCATTTATAGATATAAACAGTGCGAACGTAGAAATATATAGGTCTCTGATGGATTAAGAGCATACAAAGAAACCGGAGATTATTTTGCTCAAGAATTTATGTTTCATTTATTTTTTTTGTGTAGAAACTTGTAAATGAACTTGCCGAAACTGTAGTAATTTTTCGAATGCTTTTGAGCATCGTTGGTCATTCTCTGTGAGATTAAAAAAAAAAGCGTCAAGAGATAGCCGGTGATGCATTTATGTTGTTAATGGCCTGATGTTTTTTTTTATGAATGTCGGTTCATATGCTATGCTAGTGAAATAAATTTATCCGACATCAGGAGAAAATTCACCATTAGCCACCACAAATATTTCACCCCTTCATATATATATATATATGTGTGTGTGTGTGTGTGTGTGTGTGTGTGGAGAGAGAAAGAAGGGAGGGAGAGACTGTAAATGAAATTAATAAAGAGAAGTTCGAGAGAAAATTGGATTAAATATGAATAGACATAGATAGATAGATAGATAGATAGATAGATAGATAGATATGAAATGAGACTGATAGATAGATAGATAGATAGATAGATAGATAGAGAGATAGAGAGATAGATAGATATGAAATGAGATAGATAGATAGATAGATAGATAGATAGATAGATATGAAATGAGATAGATATGAAATGAGATAGATAGATAGATAGATAAATAGATAGATAGATAGATAGATATTGTATAAACGAAGAAAAAAAGAAAATCTCTCGAGAGTAAAGATAAAGGAAAATAGATCCGTAAAGTTTACGTATCTATTTCCCCGCGTATAAATCATATACACCACTTTTTATTGCATGCATGAATATACATTTGACATATACACAAATCAAAGATAACAGCGCATATGGACTGGAACTAAAACATATGCAGAAGATGAAACGATCTAACTGGAATATGGGTGGTGGTCACTTCGAAAGAAATTTGATATTAAACAGTTGTAGAATTAAGAAAGAAATGAACCTTTCCTATCTTTCCTACAAGATGGTGCTGAAAAATTCTCAGTAGAACCCACTTCCCAAAATTATATTCTGCTGCTTGATTATTTAAAGCCTTTGAATTCACCTGGCATATTATACCTGTGAGCTGTCTCTCTACTTCCGCAACATTTTGTCTCTCGCTATTTATTTCCTCTTAATTAGTTTCATCTTAGCTTGTCTCTTCTTCATCATCCGTATTCTGTCCGGTTTTATTAATCAGTTTCCTTCTTTATCTTAACGATTATCTTTTGCTGACAGTGCCTCCTTTTCCTCCAAGCATTTGCTGTTTACTTCTTTCTCTAAAATATCATCCTCTATCAATAGCTACTCCCAAATCTCACCTTTACTTTCTTTCGTTGTTTCTTTCTTTGTTTATTTCTTTCTATGTGTATTCCTGTTTACCTCCGAACTTTGACGTCCCGTCTTTGCCCTCTCCTTGCTTTTTTTTATTACTCTCTCTATTAATGACTAATCGTTCATCCACTACTACCATCAGTTTATTTTTTTGTGTTTTTTTTTTTTTGCCTTCTCTTTTTTTCAGTTTATTTATCCTTGTCTTAATAGTTACCCTACATCGACAACTACCAACACGTTTTCCTTCTTTCTTTCTTTCTTTCTTTATTTATTTATTTATTTATTTATTTTCTTTCTCTTTTACTGCTTACTTGCTTTTTTCCTCAACATTCATGTACTTCTTTATTTTCATTAGTATGCCTCTTTTTTCTGTCTGTCTGTCTGTCTATCTATCTGTCTATCTATCTTTATTTTTCAGTTTCGTATTTTCGTTCTTATTTATCCAATTATCATATCTTCCTTTTTTCCTTTTTCTCGCTTTCTTCGCTTCTCTTCTATTTGACTTACCTATCTTAAGCCCACTCACACTCTAGGTTTCCCTGTTTTTATTCTCTCTCTTTCTGTTTATATTCAACACACACACACACACACACATATATATATATATATATATATATATATATATATTCACCCAGCGCACATCACGCACGTCTCTCACCACCTTCTGGACCATTTATTCAAGTCGCCCTCACTAAATACCTCTGCTGTGCTTTGAGTTCATCCTGCAGTGAAACCCGCGAGATTCAAATGTCACTCCTGTCATCATTATCGAAACAATGAACCGCTCTTGTTCAAACCGTTTAGCGGCGTCTGACCCGGACCGGACAACTTTACTAAGGAATGGTGAATAAGAAGGAATTATTCTTTTGGGCAGCAAGGTCGTAGACAAAGGTATGGACGGGTAGGTACTGTTTACAGCGCCAATAGGCCCGTTTGGGACCACAGTCCGCACACGACACACAAAACGAAACCAAAATTAGAATCTATATTGAGCATTGAATTCATTTGTCATTGCAAGTGCCAGACTGATGAAGAAAAAAGAAGGAATGGATGACGGAATAGGCTGCTACCTTTTTGATATTCACCAATACACAACCATCATGACTGCAAGTAGTCAATTAAATGTGGAACACTGCTGCCTTGAATTCCATTGGCTATGTCTGACATGATCGTCAGTTATTTCAATTATTTATCTCGATTCAAAAGATGACCAATTTCCGGGTACGAAACTAGATAGATAGATAGATAGATAGATAGATAGATAGATAGATAGATAGATAGATTTGAATCTGCTGATTGGGAGAGCTTAGGAGAGCTAGATAGCTAGTTGGGATCAGCAAATGAACAAAACGCCGACAGAATGATAGCAGAATAAAAATTAAATAGGATAACTGCAAACAATATCTTTTGCGCAATATAAGTAGATAGGAACAGACTGAGATAGATAGATAGATAGATAGATAGATAGATAGATAGATAGATAGATAGATAGATAGATCATGAACGGTAACTCATCTATATCCTTTCGTACTAACGCGGGTGTCCCCAGGGCTCCATCCTTGGTCCTACGCTGTTTTTAATCTTCGTTAACGACCTTCCCGATGACAACAGCTCTCAACTTAGCATCTACGCTGACGACACAACCATTTACTCCTTCCTCGATAGTAAGGTTGATCAGTCCCACAATGTCAAAATGGCAGCAGGAGTCCAAAACGACCTCAAGATCATCTTTAACTGGGACAAAAGATGGCTTGTCAATTTTAACGTCTCCAAAATTAAACTTTCCTCCATTAATCATCTAAGAGACCTCCACCTTTACCTTCCATCAGTATGGCTGTTGCTATCCTCCAGGAGACTGACTCATTGCGCCTTCTCGAGCTAACGTTCTCAGCTGACGTGAAGTGGAAAGACTATATTGAATCCATTGCTAGGTCGGCTGCTAAGAAAATCGGTTCACTGTGCCGGGCGTGACAATTTTTCTCTCCGGAATCTGGTTCCACGCTCCTCAAAACCACCAATCAGAGGTCTTGCTACCGGATGTAGTTTATCGTCACACCCAGGACTGAGATAGATAGATAGATAGATAGATAGATAGATAGATAGATAGATAGATAGATAGATAGATAGATAGATAGATATTGTGATTTGAACAAAGACTGTTCTGCTATTGCACGAATAAAGAAACTGCTACAAAGATTCTGTGAGACTTGGAATCAGAACCTGACTACTGGCTCCAATATCAAAAATCGCTTCAGGTCATATATGACAGAAGAATGATATGCAAAAAACAATAGCAGGATTAACTGAGAAAATAACTTGATTAAAGGGGTTAATGCATTTAGTCAACAAAAGTAACAAAGTAAAATAAAAGCGGGAAAATTCATGTTAGATTGCGTGAATTTGCGCCATCGAGCTTTACCAACAAAGTTTAACGATTAAATGACACAGCTAATAACTTTATACCGATATTCTTTTTAGAAAGGGCCTGACGAAGTAGATGTTATGCAGACATTCTTAACATATGTGCTTTATCAGTTTGATTATAGGAATGCTTGAATTCCAGTATCATGTACAAATCTTATTTAGCAATTCTTGTCACTAGTGGCCGCCATTTAAATTTTGTCCACTTGACCAGCTGCACATGTTTGCCGTTTTTTGTTTTTTTTTTTTTTTTTTTTTTTTTGTTTTTTTTTTGTATGAGTCTATCAGCGGTAAAAGTAATCGTACGCTTCGAAAACATTGATTTCCAATCGGCGTATTGAGGTTTGAAAAATCTCATTCTGACACAAGGTCATTAAACGGCTGGGATTTGATCCACTGGGTTTACAGAGATATTTCTTAAATTTAAATTTTTTTTTTAAAGGAATTAAGAAGGCAGACGATAACAATTGACATTGCATTTGAATTTTTGAAGAAGCAGGAAGAAAGTTC